TTGTCAGAGACAAATCGGTTTAGCTGTAGGTAAATCCTGACTTGAGGATAGCCCAGAACATAGCAAAATTGAAGTAATTGAAGAATTTTTCGGGATTAAAGATTAGTTTTAAGTCCAAACAGGCAATCATGAATTCTAATTTCATCAAATTGGGCTGATTAGGCTGATGCATACATATCTTACATGCATTTTTCTTCGTAAAGATTGACTAACTGCATTTACCGTATACCATGGGTAAATCCTTTATTAGTCAGCGGTCAGGATTGCCTAATAGATCATGTTTAAAGGTACAGAAAAAGATCGTTCTTCAATGAAGAAGTAGTCCCAAGTTGCATCATTCCTAGTGGCAGAACTAACAACGTTCTGAAGAGAACTGCATGCGTAAAACCTCACATCCGATCTGTTGTCCCCACAAACAATGAAGAAGATAGATGCGACAGTCTTCTCCAAAATAATTGGATAAAATGCATCTACAAAGCTACTTAAATCACCAGGATTACAATCAGGAGTGATGTAATGAGTTCGAATGATGATCAAAGATTGGCGCAGGAGAAAACGTGACCAGCATTCCACAGTAATGAAATAAATGTTTTGTGTACAGTTGGCGAAGCTATAACACTACTGTCGCACATTTGTAGAGACACTTACACATTTTGTTTTCTTCCTTGGTATTCTATATGCACAAAACAAATGGAAGCCTTCAAAAGCAGCCAGTTCATCATCGACCACACCATGTAGCCACGACTCTTGTAAAAGTAACACGCAACTTTTGGAGTACCCCCGTTATGAATTATAAGGCTGATGTTTGATAACTTTGCGGGAAGTGAGTAGACATTCGACTACAAATTAAAATGGAAACCAATGGTCTTCGTGTTTCAGTGCTCAAGTGACATTTTTCAGGTAGAAAAATGTTTTCTCCGTTTGACAATTGCATTTATTTCTCATAAAACGAGAAAAATCACTTAAAGACGAATTGTTGATATTTTCCACGGAAATTAAAGTGAGCACATCTTAAATAAACATTGAGGTCGCAGTAGTTGATACGAAAGCAAATGCACAGGTAATATACGATGGGAAAAACCAAAGCTCCGGTGATAAGAAAAAATGCATGACCAGATTCATGGGCCCCGCTCACCAGTAGAAGTTTATAAAACTAAATCTGGTTGTGCGCATTTTATGGATAATATCGTTCCCTTTTACTTCAAAAATCTTTGTGTTGCATCTGTTAAATGAGAGAAAGGAATTCTTCCTTGGGGAGATAAATAGAGTTTTTAAAAGTTACGAAAATTACCGATTTTTCTACCATTGGTAGGCTTACCGTATCAGAATCAGTTGTGGAAGATGTTTTCTGCAGAAAGATGCGTTAATAATGAAAGAAGGAAGCCATTCATCGTAAATAGTGTATTAGTTTGCTGGTTTTTACTTTTAAACGGATATCATCTCTATACATATCGCTGATCATCACTACCAGGGAGCGGGGTTTAAATCCAGGTCGACGCATGACGTGGCCCAGTTTTGGTTCCTTTACGGTATCCCGCAGATCAGTCAGTGGCCCATAAGCTCTTTTTGTTTACGTGACGCTCATCCACGTTTGGAGCTGTCCACCGAGGAGGCAACATCAACCAGGAGAGGGATCAGGAATACGCGTTTGTTTGATTAGCAGCGTCCTCGGTTGCCATCTTAATATGGCCAAACAATTTTAGTCGGCTACTTTGGAATAAGACTGGTAGTTTGTTAATATCGTCTCCTTACTTTTTTTCATTTAATATCGTCGCCAATCCAACTTTGACTGTTTAACGTAGACACCCACGGTCGAATACTTTTAACCTTATGCTGCCTTTATTTCGTAGAAGACAGGTTTTGCATCTGTAGATGAATACTGGACAAACAGCGGTAAGGTGAACAGAAAGTTTAGCGCAGAGGCTGATTTCGCTACGAGTTCACAGTGTCAGCCATAGCTGAAGAAAATTTCTCCTGTGGTTGTTTATGTGTAAAGAAAAGCTTCAAAGTTCATGAGGCTTTTCGAGACTAAGAGGGAGCCTAGGTAATGCAACAATAGTACATACTCAAAGGATACAGAGTGTTTGCCGGATCAACCAGTTGACGGTTTAGAGGAACGGCATCGATGAATGAGGCAGCATTGTCTGACTCCGGGATTTTGGCTTGGGGTATGACAAAATTCAGCAGTAAAACAACCGCACTTCAGTTAAACTAACGACAGCCCCAAATTATGCAATGATCAAGTGTTTTTGCAGAGCCAGACTGAAGTATTTCGAGTTGAACTCACACTCAGTTGTGAGTAGTGATGTGGGATAATTGATATTGATTGTTCAGAACTGACCATCCTTCAGATTTCATATTCCTCAACTATTCCGAGTGTGTGGTTCACCGGAAGAACTGAGGAATGTGCGTGAAGGTGAAGTCTGAAGGATGGTCAGTTTTATTCAATCAATATCAATCTAAAGTATCATGAATCGGGGCGAAGAATATACTTCAGAATAATGTCCATATAATATCGCATATCACTGAGAT